AGGGGGGGGGGGGGGGGGGGAGGGCGCCCCCCGCCCACCCCCCCCCCCCCCCCCCCTGCTTCCTGTCGGGTTACAGGAGAACATGCTGTAGACGTGAAAGTGGGGGAAGGCGGCAGGGGGGGCGATGCGTTTGGCGATGGCGGATGGGGGGGGGGTGTCCCCCAGGGGAAAGTTTGTGCAACTGGATCCAAGGAAAATGAAAAACAACCGGCTGCAGTGGCAACCTGAAGGAAACATACAGGTGTGACAGCCGGAGGTCTGTCGTTCTCCCGTTAACGGGTCACAGCTAAAAGGGTCCGAAATAGAAATGAGGTCTTAAACGTGGCAAGGAAGGTTTATACATGTTTAACTACGCTCATTCAGGGCTGTCGCACAACACATAAACTTCCATTGTCATTAATAATATTTTATTTAATTATTAACTACTTCATGTTAAGATTTTTGCAATGATTGGATGGTTTACATTTCTCTTGTCGCTAACAAAATGTTTATTTATATATTTATTGATGGCATGTTTCTACCGAATTCCTTCGGCCACTTCCTCGGAATGTGGGAGGCTCTGTTCACAGGTAGCTACAGTAGCAGAAAGTTGGACCTTTGTACTTTTCTGTTTATTTGGACAGCAGGCGAAGGAAGTAGCTAGGAAATCATGGTAGAGACCCTGCGGAGACATTAACCCCAGAGCAAGGTCAAACACACCTTACAAACAAACAGGAACAGAGCTACGTGGGTCTGTACGACAAAAACAATTAAGAAAAAAAAAGATCAAAATCACATTTGTTTCGCTGAGCCTCGTCTTGGTATCGGTCCAGGCGAGGAGATCTGCTGCGTTTTTGCAGTGGCTGTTCTGCTGTGGTCTGAAGCCTCAGACTGGAGCTTCCAGCACATCCAGCAAATACAACCTGAGCCTTTTGTTAATAAATAAAAATGTTCTGAGACAATAAAATATATTTTAGTATTGTCTTTGCTCTACGGTTGTTTGTTTATTCTTTCGCTTTTTCGGAATTGAACTTGATTGCTCTGTCGATTCTTGTAATTATTCCTGGCGGTCGGATTTGACAATAACATTGTGTGTTTTTTGAAATGACACCTAAAACTGTTTTTCTCCTTTAGAAGGTAGTTGACAGATATTCTATGGGGATTGAATGTTGAGTGATAAAGATTGGTGCCTTAAGATACAGTATATATATATATATATATATATTAGGAAATCAATATAGAATCATTTTAGCCATGGAGTAAACAGAGAGGAATTTTATAGACACCGACTTCGTGAATCCATTAACAGACTATAGTAATAACAATAAAGAAGTTGGTTTTGTCCTGACACATAAAATATCTTTTTTATCAGATAAAATATCATATAAGTATCTTATCAGATAGAGAATAACAATTATGATGTCACTTTTACACACATGGGTGGGAACATAATTGAGCTTTATAATAATTCTGTATCACTTGTGCATGAATTTGATCAAAACATTGAAGAATAAAATTAATTTAAGATATTTGATGGTGGCAGAGGTTAAAAACTTACCATAAATAAAATATCACAAATCATTCACCTTTTTTAACATTTTAATGTGATTAAGTGTAATACTTAGTATTAAATGAGAATGCTTACCCATTTGATGAATGTATTCATTTTGGGAAATACAGGTTGGGGAATATAATATGTAGCATTTGGGACATTGTCAGAATAATGCACATTTAGAGTTGTTGTGCAGATAACCCTGGGCCGGTAATATGAAAGGTACATCCGAAAAATTTAGCTCCTCTTTGTTCATGTCTGCATCCCTTCACAGTCAACAAATAGGTTTCACACTACGCTAATTATTTGGTGCCTTGCAATATAAGCTCTCAGTCATGTCAGAAGGTATAAAAACATGAATAATTAATATGGAGCCATCCCTGGGTTTTTATCTAAATTACAGTAGCGAGCTGATCCTCCTCTTAATTAAGTAGCTTTGGTCCAGCGCGAGACGTAAATCATGAAGTCAAAATCAGACAGGTATGCAAATCAACAGTATTTTTGACAATGTATACCTCATTTTCTAAATTAGATTTTGGCTACGCTTAGTCGTTTTTACTTGTTGTTTGTAGTTTATTTTTAATATAGGGTCTCTTTTGCTTTGATGGTTGGTTGAGGACAAGAATAGGAGTCACAACTTACTATTTATAAGTTTATTAATATGGAGCTTGAAGTTTTCCCATAATTTTCATTGAGTGATATTCTTTTAGCCAGCACAGAAATGATACATGGGTTAATATCTAGCCATTAAATTGTATTCTTTGCTTAAAGTGTTTATCTAGTCATCTTGTAATCCAGACCAGAACAGTTTTGAAGAGCACTTGAACTTCTCACTACATTTCTTAAGTCTTGACAAATTTTTCTTGTTTTAATAAAACTCTTATTGCTAAATACCTGTGCAAATTATGAATTAATCCTTCTTGTCCTCGTGACACTGTACTGGATGGATGGATGGATGGATATTCCTTTGCATCACTGAAGCATCTGTCTCCACCCTGTCAGGTGACCTTCAAAGCTTGCCCTTTGACATTATACATCCCGTCCTCTTTGCTGCTCGTTTCACCCCCACAGCTTCTGGACCAGCTGAGACTCCCCTAAGGAAACAAGGACTGTGAGCAAAGGCGGCTGCTGCAGGAAGCTGCCGGTGACTCTGGGTCAGGTGACCCGATGCTCACAGAAGTGGGAGGGGCATCACCTCAAGCTGGGTTTCAAAATCCTGATACAAAATATGAGAGCCCTCAGCTCGTAATGCTTTGTTTATAAAACAATGCCTACAGACACTTAGCATTTCGCTTATAATATTGCACAAAAGGAGACCATAATGTTGCCGGTGCGTGGGGGTTCTATTTTTTAACCCAGATTTGTCACCATCATGGTCTCTAGCAGTGAAAGTATGCTATTAATTCCATGTTTGTATAGGAACATTATCCAATAGCTCTATTATTTTAAATAGCACCTGTCAATTCTTCCTGTCTGAGTGGAATTTATGAAAGAATACCAAATAAAAACAGCTTCACAGTCAAGCATCCAGCTTCAGTGACCTTTACCACCAGAAGACACTTTCTGTTTTCTGTGTCAGGACGTGTTCAGCGTCACGCTGTCTTGTATCTCAGTGTTTCCCAATCCGGTCCTCCCTCCCAGCTCGAGCTAAAATGCAGACCGTCTGGCAAGGAGTTCAAAGGGAGCAAGAACACGGAGTGACTGCTGGTCCCTGACGACCGGATTAGGAGACACTGCTGTATCTGAATCGAACCCTCAGCCAGCGCTCACTGCATCCCGGGGCAGCTGGGGGGTTGGGGCTCAGGATTAGCCCTCCGTCCGAGATGCATGGCCAAGCTCGTCGTGCTGCAGTTGGAGGGGCTGCGGGGTCTGTGGGGGGGTCGGCTGTGTTTATCAGGCTGACCACTGACAGACCTGGACAACTGTGTGTCTCCCTTCTGGCTTGTGGGGCTGGTTCCTATAACACATCCACCTAGATAACTAAAGCCAATGGTGTAATTCAACCCCCTTTTTACTTTTCAAGTTCATGTGTATCCATGTCAAGGGACTCAAATGAGCAGATTTTTGTCATTATTGTAAATAGGGCTTCACCTTAGTCTAGACCAGGGGCCTGTACTACGAAGCAGGGTTACTGGCTTATCGGGGTAACTTGTCGGATTTAAGGTACCACAGTTTAAATGGACTTCATATTCGCTCACTTACATTTTGCCCGGACTACCTTAAATCCGACAAGTTACCCGGATAAGCCAGTAACCCCACTTCGTAGTACGGGCCACAGGGGTGGGAAATCTTATCCACAAAGGGCCGCTGTGTATGCAGGTTTTCGCTGCAACTCCCTAATTAGATCACTAATTAGAGGACTGATTGGCTGAAGAGTCCTCACACCTGAGTTTGAACAGCTGACCTAAAGGTTATCCCAAACACCTGCATACACACCGGCCCTTTGCGGATAAGACTGCCCACCTCCGGTCTAGACCTCCTTGCCCCTTAAACACAATTTCAACAGCTTTTAGTACATTGATTATTATATTTAATTATATTTATATAAGCATACATAAAAATTATAGCTGAAAGGCTGTGTGTTTTCAACAATCAATTGATCAACCAGAATTTCTCTCAACTCTCACAACTAGCCTGGGGTCAAATTGACCCCAAAGGCACATTTCAGGTGACTTCTCATAGTAACATAATTACTGTAGGAGTAAGTAAGAGTTAAGCTGTAAGAATATATAAGTATATTGTGAAAAACAAATTCTGTATGTCAGAAACTTGCAATGTGATTATCCCCCTTTCTGGTGGTTCATTTCAGATTCAGAATTCTGGTCCAAAATGTCCTTTCCATATGGCTGCATTTGCTGAAGGAAGATGACACTGAACTAATGTAAACTTGTTTTACTCACCCACATACTGAAAATCAGTGCTTGTGTTAATAATGTACCAACCTCATATGTTAAAGGCTCTCTTTCAGAGGACTGTAATGCACATTTCAGCATTCATGGCATATTACAATAAATGCAATAAAACGTGCCTGAATTTTATCATATAAATAATAATTATGAATCATGATATGAGGGTTCAGCTGGTCCCCATCCCCCGTCAGTGTGAGGGTTCAGCTACTCTTTGTCTCCCATCAGTGTGAGGGTTCAGCTGGTCTCCGTCTCCTGTCAGTGTGAGGGTTCAGCTACTCTTTGTCGCTCGTTGGTGTGAGGGTTCAGCTGGTCTCCGTCTCCTGTTGGTGCGAAGGTTCAGCTGGTCTTTGTGTCCCATAGGTGTAAGGGTTCAGCTTTAAAATTTGAAGGCTTTCAAACTTTAAAGTTCTGTCGTCCTGTGTCCTCTCCTTCCTCATGGTCGTCCACATAAAGCAGTGAAGCAACAGCAAGGTTAACAGCAGTAAGGCTCGCAGTATGCTCTTCCACCTCAAGGACGTTGAGCGGATGCCAAACGCCTTGACCAGGCCCCTACGCCAGCTCTACAAAATGAACGCCTGGTTACTTGCTAACTGATCTCCCTGTGCTAGCAGCCCAACCTTGATACGCCACTCTCTGCCACTAACAGACGCCAGCGTATGTCACCCTGTCACAGCCATGTCACCACTGTACCCCCTCCCACCTCACCCCATCTCCTGTCTTGGAGTGATTGGTATGGCTCCATCCAGGCCACAAACTTGAATCATTCACATCATGCTCTATTTTTTAAAAACAGTGTTTCTGCTCCAGTCCTGACCTAATTGCTAAATCTTACCAAACTAATTAATCACAGCAGCCCAATCACTCAGACAGGGTTGAGGGGGTGACATTCTTCAAAATCTCCAATTTGTTTTTAATCCCCAACTGCAGCCCCTCCCCCCTTTCTTCACACCTTTTGTACCACCCAAAAATGCCCACCAAGGTTAAACACTTCAGAAATGTATTCCGGGGATTATTTCATATTTAGATTTTCTTTCCACCTCAGCCACTCTTGTGACTGTCTTCACTGTCTTTGTTTTAAGAGGAGTAGCAGGAATTAATCACAAAGAATGACACGAGTTACGTTCCGCCGAGGAACCCAACACGGCCACATTTGTCTAGTTAGCATGGGGGGGGGTGACTTTATTAATCAGTCCTTCTGATTAATTGTTATAAAGTGTCACCCATAAATTCTCTTTCAATTTAATAATCCTTGCAGAAGACTTAACAATTTCCCCAGTGATTTGAGTTTTACTGAGGGGCCGTACTAAATGAAGCAGCGACACAAATGGCTTGTAGGAGCTCAGGCACTTGCATGGACACCCGTCCTACAGGTAACAGTTCTGAGGCATCTGTCTTCTGAAGAGATCTGCAGAAAAGTGATGGAAAAGGGAAAATCACGCACAAAACAACCTACAAAATAGGTCTGATATCAGTGCATTTCCTCCACAGGCTTGAGACCGTACGTCTAACGAAAATATTTTCCTAAAATTCACTAACCCATTACTGCATTTGCACTTTCAAAGACTCAATAAAATCGAAACCTTGGATCCAAATAATATTCAATGCATAAAAATGATTCTTTAGGAAAGACACCTAGAGGGGCCCTTGTGCTGTGCCGTGAGGAACCCCATGTTCCACATAAAACCATTCACTTCCGTACACGTGGGCCGTGGCAGCCATCCAGTAGGGCTTATTATGAGGCCGGTGTTTGTCTTTTGCATACATCTCGGGTAGAGAATACCTTTCCTTGGGGTCACCAGTGGCTTTCATCCCTCTTTTCATCAGCTTGCAGTGGCAGGATTTCCTGTTTATGAAGCCATGCTCCTGTGGGTTTCCAGTGTGGGGTGTGTAAAATGGAATGCTGCACCCGTCTCATGCTGAGATCTGAGCACAGTAAGAGAGAATATCACGTTCAGGCCCAGCTGGCTGGCTGGCGTCTATGACGAGATATTAAGTCCCGCCTCCTAAAGACAGGCAGGTCCTTGCAGCTCCGGCCCAAACCTTTCCCTTCAGCTAGCAGATGCCACGGCGACCAAGGACAATGGTATCTGCGAGCGTCAAGGTGGACGTCGTTTATCAAGGCATATCTGTAATGGAAGAGCTCTCTGGCAGTGGTCATCAGGACAGAAAGCGAAGACTCATAAAGCTCAGCTGATAGACGGTCAGGAGGAAGCGGATAAAGAAAGACAAAGTTCATGTCATGACGCCTCACTGTGCAGCATGACAGAGTACCTTGCTTTGCCCTGTCCGGTCCTGTACGCATTTGGACCAGGCAATGAGCAGCATAGTCAGCAATAAGTCAACATGCATGTCAGGAATCTAGTGGATCTATGCTGCGCTGTATGTTTAACACAAAGCAGGGGAACCTTATGACAAAGTCCTCACAGTGACACGCAAAACTGCAGATAACTATAAGGAATTAAGAAGTTCAGAACAGTGCATGTTATTTCACAGTGCCTTGTCACAACATTTAGATCCTCTCTATTAAGGAATATTTAGTCAAACAACATTTTTTAGGCACCTTTCTATTTGAATGTGAATGCATAAACTGAAAGTTCATGATTAGGTTTTCTTGACATTTGGTATAACTTAAATAATTATTGTATTTACATATGCCTCTGTGTGTTCATTGTATATATATTTAGATGGCGAGCTGATGGTGATTCTTACAGCCGTCATTTTTCAACCAGTTCTACAGGCTGTCAGTAGAATTCAAGCCAGATTTCTGGCTGAGTGGCTCAAGGACGTTCAGCTCCGTATACCTGTGCCACTCATACCTGTTCCCACAAATGTTCTGCTCATAGGGGCTTTGAGTCATCTCTAACGGACTGAAACCCTCACGTCTTTTTCCTCTGATCCTTTACAATCCCTGCCATGATGGGACATGCATGGGACAATCCAGTAGCTTCCATGGTCGACTCAGATCTTTGGTTACTGCGTGCATTAAGAGATTTTGCTTAATTTATCATTGTGATTTTATATTGATGACAGGAGAGTCAAACCATTCCGTAAAGTCTTCTCTAACACATCCCAAAGCCTTGTGGTTAATGTAAGGGCCCTATGGGGACCAATGCATGTGCGGAAATGATTCCTCATGTTTCCTGATCCATCTTTTCATAATTCAAGCCCGATGAATCTTTGCATTGTCGTCCTGGAATGTGCCTGTGCTGTCACAGAAGAACCTCGTCATTCAGTAGATTCAGGTACTCAACTGACTTCATTTTATTGCGGCGTAGTGTTGCTGACCCTAGACCAGACCAGATTTTCTCACTGAAATTCAAACGGCAACTTTTTTTTTAGACAGGCAGTGTCTAAATCAGTCTCTGATTGGCCTGTGTCACTCATGATGCTTTTACGCTTAGATTGAAAAAAGTACAAATTCGGTCTCCTGGGAATGCCAGGTCCAGAGAGTACAATTCCAGACCAGGATTTTGTTTCAACCAACCAGTTAAGTATAAAGAGTCACAGTCACAGAGTACTCAACTGGTTGGTTGAAACAAAATCCTGGTCTGGATTTGTACTCTCTGAACCTGAAATCACCACCTCTGCTTACCAGACAGTCACACAAACTACATAACAGAAGCAGGGATCTTCAACCTGTCCATACACAGACAAACATGCCGGTGGCAAGACTCAACTGTGTCTGTGGCAAAATGTTTTGATTGAAACAAAAAAAAAAACATGGAGGCCACATTTTTAAAAACCATATGTGCGTTGAAAATTGCATTTTGGTAAAAATGTCTGTCAGAGGTCACCACAGCATTGTCCCATGAACTGAAGTGTCCTGGGTGAAGTTGAGTCAGGTTAGGTGACTGTAAATGTTACTCCAGGAGGGACAGCGAAAGAAGCTGCATGACACGTGGGCAGGAGGAAGGAAC